GTCCCTCTCCCCGGAAGTCTCTGAAGGAGCTGTCGCGGGAGATGGGCCGGGACGTTTGGACCCCCGCGTGGCGCACGCTGTCCTTGTGCTGCCGGCATTTGCTCAGGAGCTCCTCGTACTTCTCCAGCAAGGCGTGATACTGCTCGTCCACTTCCCTCAGGATGGACATGCCCCGTTTGCGCACGTTGTTGGCGTGTAGCGTGTAATTGCCCTCGTGCCGGCTCACGGCATCCTTGGTCACGATGGCGTTGAGGGCCGTGTCGCTGCAGCTTTTCCGGACTGGGTGGTTTGGGGAAGGTGTCATTGATGGCCCGTGACTTTTCCCTCCCTCCTCCTCCGAGAGGTCGATGTAGTCTGCTTCTGGGGCGTTATTCAGCGGCTCGAGGAGGGCCTCAGACAAGTTGTCTTCCCTGCTGAGCAGATATTTCTTGACTTGTTTCATCTGTTGTAGCTCTAGGAGCTCCGCTTCCAGTTCCTTGATGCGCAGCTTGCAGTTCTCCATCTCGCACACCCGCTGCTCGAGGTCCGAGTACTCCTGGATAACGGACGTGTACTCCCGCTCCACCCTCTCCTTCCGCTGCTTCTCCTGGTTGACTTGGGACCTCAGGGAGTTCACCATGGCTTGGAGGCGCTCGTTCTCCCTCTCCAGTGGCTTCTGGTTGAACTCCGTGGAAGAGCTGTGGACCTGGAACGCGTCCTCATACCTGCAAGAGAAGAAAGACCCTTGGGAGAGCCTGGCCAAGTGACAGTCCATGAGGCACTCGCGTGGTGCCTTATCATCATGTGAGTAATTCCACTCGTGTCCGGAGAGGAGGTCACCTGAGCTCATGGGGCGAGGTATGCCTCCTCCCGTGTGCCGGGAGACCGCAAGGTGTGGCTGTGGCTCTTTTTGGCCAGAGACCAGGTTCTGCTCCAGAGAACCTGCAGTCTCATTTGACAGCAGCGATGAAAGACAGGAGTGAAACGAAACCCTGAAGGGTGAAAGACTCCCCTAGTTGACAGACAGGCCACCAACGTTGCTGTGAAGCAAGGATGCGTGTTCAAGAGCTGAAAGTGGAAGGCTTTGAGTCTTTCCTGCTGGAGTTTATCAGCTACTCGCTGTATCAGGGAGTTCACCGACCGCTCTCTGCACGCACCAACAACCCCAAACCCCATCCAGCCATAACCCAGAAGCACAGGCTCCGCTGTCCTGTGTCTCGGAGGTGCTCCAGAGAAAGTGGGAGAAGACATACAGCAAGGGGGGGCAGAAAGAGACTACTGACAGTTACCCCTCCGTTGCTCACTGCCTGTGAAACAATGACACAGTTCCCCCTTCCCTCACGCTGCTGTCAGAAATCAGATTTTCCTCCTCAATGCAGTGCCCATGGCATCCTATCTGGTTAGAACAGACTGGGAGGATGCAAGCACCGCGGCTTCCCCTGGGAGGCGTGACGGGTGGCGGGGGGTATTGAACCCATTTCCAAGTTACTGAAGGGCAGCCCGACCTTCCGAGCCAACCGCAGATCTGAACTGAGGTCCCAAGGCGCCGGGGGGAGAGGGGGGAAAAGAACCACAGTGACATGAAGTGGATTTGGCTGGGGGTTAGGTCATGCCCTCCTAACATCCCTGTTGCTGTGGCCGTGAAAGTGGGTTTTGTTTGTATCCTCTGGCAGGGGATGCGTTCAGTGAGAAAGTTTATCGATTGCTCATCTATTTAAAGAAGCCTCTGTTATGGATAAAGCTGAGCAAGAAATGCCCTCACGAGGTCAGTGAATTAACACAGTGGCTGGGTTTTAAGGAAGATCAAGTGTGCCCTAGTGCTGAAAGTGTTTGTACAGCACTCGGCAGCAGATCCTGGGGTGTGTGACCGGTGCCCTTGGGGGGTGCAGGGGAAAATGCACCATCCCAACCGGTTGCAGTGTGCCAGAGATGCTGGTCCTGTTCCGGGGGGCAGCTGTGAAGGGAAAACGGGCTGAGCAGGTTCGGGGAGGGGAGCTGTGTAGGCAGCTCGAGGTAAGGGTCCCCTTCACACGACGTGCTACGGGGTGGGCTGTGCTGGGGGAGGCTGGTTTGAGCTACGCAGAGCTCGAGCCGGTGTGTGTTCCCGCACATCTCCCCCGCCAATGTGCCAGGACAGTCGCAGCCCCTCCAGGCAATGCCTATCCCCCACGGTCTGGCTCAGTGTGAGGCATCCAGACCCTCCTGTTCTTGCCCCCTGAAAAAGAGCTCCTGTCCCCCCACCCGAGGCATCACTGATGCTGGGGTCTAGGCTGTGCTTTGCCAACGCCGCCCGCTCAGGCACCGGGTTTCCGGCTCTGACGCAGAGCCTGGATCCGTGGGGGGGAGTATGTGGGGGTTTGTGCATCCCCAGACGGGCCAACCCTCCGCATCCCCCGTGCGCAGGCAGAGGAGGTGAGGGAGAAGGTTGGGGGGGTCGCTGAAGGCGAGGCTCAGTACCTGGGGCTGGAGCACAGCTCCTTAAGGCAGGGGAAAGTGTGGATGGTTCGGCGCCGCTCCCTCTTCTCCCGCCGAATTCGGAGCTGCTCCAAGCTCCGCATTTCCTCCACCTGCTTCTGCAGCTCCTCCACTTGGTTCTGCAGCCCCTCGATCGTTTCCGTCAAGCTGCGGGGAGAGGAGGGAGCACGGAGAGCAGTCAGGCACTACAGGTCCTTGGAAGGTGGTTTTTTCCCTGTAGGAATCTCCCGGTCCGTAGCGTGTGCGCTGGGAGCGTGACAGCACTTGCTTTGGCTGGCAGTGGCCGGCCTTTCCCTGCGTGGGCACCCTTGAATGGGGATGTTTGTAGAAAAGGGCGGGGGACTGAAGCAGTGGCGAGGGGTCGTACTGATTTGAGACCCTCTGTCCTCAAACCAGTTGGCTAAAGCCATCGCCTCTGGGACAGAAGTCCTGGAGTATCTCTGCGCTAAAAGCAAGCAGGCGAGCTATCTGCTCTCTTCTTCTTGTTTCTCTCGTAGAGATAGACACAGACTGGGCTGAGGTTTGGTTTTGTGCTGGCTGTGCACGCAGCTTGTCCAACGCTCTGCTCGGAAACTCCCCCTCTGCACCCGTGTTTGCCAAAGATGCTGCGCTGCAAGGACACGGCTCAGTCTGTTGTTTCCAGGGGTGACCTTGAACGTGGGACTGTTTTAGGAAGTAAGAAGGGATTGATAAACTGGTGTTTCAGCACGGACTAACCAGGGTTTCACTAAGTGCTGGATCCGTGCCCAGTGTGCCTGCTGGGGACCTCCCTGATATGACTGCGTGCCTCTTCTTTCAGGAAACGCATCCCAGGAGGAGGAGGAGAGGCTGCTGCGCCTCTGTCCTGGCTGCTACAGATACCCCTTTATCCTGCCCTCATCCCAGGGGTGTCTGTGCTGTGGCTGACCTCTGCAAACAGCATCGGTGCAATGAGCTTGTGTCCTAAATAGCTGCAAAACCCGAGCGCTGAGAGAATGGCTTAAACAGCAACGGCGTGCTGCGCTTTGGGGCAGGGGAAAGGTGGAATGAAGGGCTTGGGTACAGCACTGCTGCTGTGAGGTGGGGGGGAGGCCGTACCACTGTATCTTCTGTTGGGATGTCTTGCTTTCCAGCACGAGTTTCTGGTTAGCTAGCTCCAGGTCCCGTGCTGTCAGGTCCAGCTGCTCGTAGACTTTCGCATGCTGTTCATTCATCTGCCGCAACATCTCTAGCTGCTTGGTCAGGTACTGCAGGAAAAAGCGAAACAGAGACACTCCATATCCGAAATCCAGGTTGTTTCACAGGCAGAAACTCCTACAGCCTTTGCTTCCTCTGATAGTGTCTATTGTGCCTGATTTATCCTCTGCCTGGTTGAAGCCTCTTCCACAGGTGAACTATTCATACCCTGCCCACTGCAAATGGTTTTGTGTAGAAAACACGACTGAACTTCCCCTGCCCTCTGCGAAGGGCACTGACCTCGAGCTCGCCATTCAGCTCCTTGTACGCGCTCCCACTACCCAAAGACAGTTAATATCCCTGGGACTGTCACCCTTCAGCAAAGTCGATGGAAACGGGCCAGTTGGCTACTGGATCGTCTGACAGATCGATTGCAGAAGCTGTGTTTCCTTGGGAATTCAGGCTAAAACTCTGAGTCCATGAAATGTGAGGAGACCTGCAGTTCCTGTGTGTGTGCAGACCCCTTTATGTGAGTCTGTCACGGCAAGACTGCAAGGGAGAGGGACATCTACCCATGTGCCCACCCTCAGACGGGACCAGATCGCAAATCCATGGTGGATGTGCTTTCGCAGGGCTGCTGGGGGCGATGGCTAAATCCATCCACCTCGGCCATCAGCCGTCAGATCCCTGCAGGCATCACGTGCTGCTCTGGTGAACCCACAGCCCTCCTCTGCCCTGGGTCTTTCTAAACCAGGAGGTTCAGATCTTTTTTGATTCACAGATCCTTAGAAATTTTCTAGTGGATGAAAACCCTCCCAGCACAGCAGGTTTAAGCCTTTAAGCTCAGTTCTGTGGGTTCTTAGAAATACTACCCTGACCCCAAAGGATGCTTGAAACAGTGGTTTAGATTGCAGCTCTTGGAGAAAGAGCTATTTTATGCCCCTAACAAAGGGGCTGTGTTACGGGGGTGCCGAGGGGCCATCTGGGAATGAATGCGATTATGAATAACTGGAATCAAGGAAAAGCTGCAGCGGAGCAAAGACAAGTGAGTGTGAATGCTGGCGGGTGGGCAGGAAAAGGCCAAACGTGCCCCAGATGCAACCTGGTGCCAAAATCCGGTGTGTGCCATCCGGGCAGGGGCTGGGGATGCGAGAAGGGGGAAAATCCCCATTAGTGGGGAAAGAGGATCCTCTCCAGCGCTGGGATGGGCTTTAACTCCCATCCCCATGCTGGATCCCTTCCTTTCTCCTGGCATCTGAGCTGTTGGCATGGCTGGAAGCACCCCTTCCCCACCATCACCCATAGGTGACAGCAGTGGCTGCTGTCCCCACCTCATCCCAGCTGTGTTCCTACCTCGATTTCCTGCACTTGTTCCTCGTTGGTGGCGTACATCTGCTGCAGGGAGTCCTCCAGCTCTTTGTTGCGCTCCAGAAGCGTCTTCCCCAGCTCCGCGGCCAGATGCAAGTCTGAAAAGCAGATGGGACAAAGCTGCTGCGGTTCCCGTGGCTCTGGGGGTGGACGTGGTGAGGTCCCCAAATGCCACCGCAGCAAGCACAGTGGCACATTCCGCATGGCGCTGGTTTATTGGCAGGTTTTGATATGGATGCGTGCTTACGGGACGTGCAGGATCTGGCCTCTTTCATCCTGCTGGGCTGCAGGAGCAAGGGGAGGCCGAGCTTGGGACCTCTGCAGCTCCTCCGTGCAGTGAGGATTTGGTGCCTGGTTGGCTGCGTAACCCTCCTGCACGGCACGGCACAGTCAGGATCAGACCCCAGGCTTGGCTGTGGAAGCTCAGCACCTCCATCCCCTATCCCTGAGACCCGTGGGGCTGAGAGGGGCTCAGCACCAGCCAGAATGAGAGCAAGGGTTGGTAAAGCCCTGCGGGACCTTGGGGATGCTCTATAAATGATATTAGTGTCTGTAATGAAGGGAGTGCCTTGCCTTCCTGTCAGCCTCCATCCATCACCCGCTAACAGACTGACATGAGGAATAGACCCACGTGTGGCCCGAGGGGGCTGGAAGCCCCTCCTGCATCTGCTGCCCGGGCAGCACTGCTCTCTCCTTGGGGCAGCTCCGGGCTGAGGACAAATCACTTTGTAGTCACTCTCTGCCACCTCCAAACGCCCTTAGGAAGCCACTGAAATAGTTGGGTTTTAGGAGAAGTGCGGGGGAAAATAGATGTTGGCAACGCGGTCGGCTTAAAACACTGGGTTTGCTGCCTCCTGGGTTAAAAAAAGCCCCAGGACCCCGAGTCCTGTGTTGGCCAAAGCTTCAGCACCTCAGGTGATGTTGTTTGTGGGCCTGGGATGCCACAGCTGGCTTTCACAGGGAGTGGTTGGCTTAAAGCCTGACCCGTGATGACGTGGGTTCTTACTCTTCCTGGTGTTTCTAGAGGTGAGCTTCTTACCTCCTACAGTGGCAGATTGAAAATCTGACCTCAAACCTTCGAAAAGGTAAGGAAACAGGACGTGATGTGTGCTGTTGCTCTGTCTCTCTCGGGCAGGGTTTTCGCACAGTTTGGGATCATTGAGCAGTGCCGATCCTGCAGCGTCTGAGGGACGTGGTCTCCTGCCCTGGCGTTGTCTCAGCCCGTCGTAGCGCTCCTCTCTAGTCTGCAGCTAACCATGTGTTTTGCAAAGGCTCTGGCGGGGCTGAGAGCAGCTGGAATTTCATGCAGTTGATTGGGAAAGAGGGATCTTGGTCACTAGGATGAGAAGAAAGGGATGCAGGATGCCGGGGATGTATTCTGAGCTTGGGAAAAATCACACATCTCTCTCTTGGAAAGGCACGTCACAAAACGAGGCTCGCACTGACCTCTCGGACCCGAGTGCTGGATGGGAGGAGCGTTAGTGCTGTCAGTGCTTGGGATGGGGCTTTCCTGTTGGATAACGCTGCGCCGTGGGAGGTACTGATGTCTTCTTGGTTTGGGTGATGGCTGGGTCTCTTCCCGTGCGGCTCCAGGAGTGCCGGAGGGCTGTCTCCCCAGATGTGGTCCAGCCAACAGCTGCTCAGCGTGCCCTCACATCTCCCCTTTACCGTGGGGATGCGCTCTCCCGCTGTGGCCGGCCTTGCAGGGTGTTATTCTGGGCTGTGACCTTTTTAATGACAACCCTCGTCGTTGCACAGTGACCCGTCTGAGGGCTGCAACCCCAGCTATCGGCGCAGCCGAGGCATTGGCACGTTTCCCCGCAGACAGACCTCCACCACCTATTTTTATTTTTTTTCCCCCAAGCGCAAAACTTCCCCAGTTTCCACAATGCCCTTGGGAGACGGAATGTTCGCTAAACCAGCTGGGGGTGGGGGAACAGCCAGATGCCAGCAGAGATGGAGGACAATGAGTGCCTTTAAGCTGCTTGGGGCTGTGTTTAATGGCCCTGCCACCTTGCCAGAGCCGGTGTCGTTGCTGGGGACGGGCACCTTGCCGATCGCATCCCTGGCAGCAAGCAGAGCCCCGGAGCGGAGGTGTGCAGCGGGAAGGCTCCGTGCTGCGCTCCAGGTAATGAGACAAGCGTGTCCCCGTCCCTGCGGATTACACCAGTGCTCTCCCACCATATGGCATCCAATTTAATCAGCTGGGGTTGAGTTAAGTGGATTAGGCAGTGCAAGATCCTGCATTGTAATTTAAAGGGCTCTGTCAGCAGTAATGTGATGGGGGAAATGGGCAGCGTTTGGGGATGAGTGGGAAGGAGGGAAGAATGGGGCTGAGCTCCGAGGAGGAAATTGATTCTGCATTTCCATTTTAAGCATAAGGGCCTGGGAGACTCCAGGCTTGAAGGACACCGGGGATTTGGTTCCTTTAGTGTATTTTAACCGCCTCAGCCGTCGCCACACACACACACCCCCGCGCTCACTCACTCTGCCTGCCAGGCAGCCAACGCATCCTCCATAATCCTGCCCGGTCAGTCCCCCTCATGCCGGAGTCCTCTCCCCCACCTGTTGGTCTCCCTGGGCTGCGGGGAGGGAGGGATGCTGCGTGGAAGTGCTTTAGTGGCATCTTTAGCCCAGATCCCTCTTGACCTTTGCACTAATTGTGGCTCTGGACAGGCTTGGGGAACGCACAGCTCCTTTCCGTCGAGGCCTGGGAAAACTGAATGGGAATTTTGCAGCAAACTGAATTTTTTCAGCAAATTGTTTGGGATGGGTGGAAAGAACCATTTAGGAATTTGGGGATTCTCTCTGCCTAACGCTGTGGTCTCCCACAATTTTTTGTACTCCTCTTTGCTTCCCCACTGTCAGATCAGCCAGCCAGTGCTGTACGACTTGCCCTAATTTAGGAGTTATGCTGGTGCCTCCCTGCCCCCTCCCCTCTTGACGCAGAAGGAGAAATAAGGTGGTGGGGAGCGGCTGTGCCGCGTGGCCGCTCGATGTGCCCAATCCCACTGCCTGGCCTGAAGGCACCGCTGTGGAACGGCCAAGACTGGGGGCCTTGGCGTTGCCCAAATCCTAACTGGGCGAGGAGCACGGATGCAAACTCTCCTGGGCAGCACCAGCTCGGTGCTCTCCGGCTCGCAGTACCGCAAGCGCTGACGCGACCCTTCTAATTAACAGCGGCCACGGAAACACCCCGCGTCCCCAAACAAAGAGCTGCGCCTACAGAGTGCAGCGGAGGGAGGGACGGCGGCTGCGTTTCCCTGCAAGCTTCCGCAGGAAAGGCGCCTGAGCAGGGAGGGAGGGGAAGAGAGGGACCATATGGTGGGAAGGGAGCAGGAGTTGAATCCAAGCAGCGCTCGGTACAGGGGAGCATGGCCAGGCAGTACACCAAGGAGGCAGCTGGCCTGGAGCTGTAGAGATCATCAGCCCAGCAATAATTCTCCTAGCTCTGCGTCATAGAATCATGGAATGGTTGGGGTTGGAAGGGACCTTAAAGATCATCCAGTTCCCCCCCCTGCCATGGGCAGGGACCCCTTCCCCTAGACCAGGTTGCCCCAAGCCTCATCCAGCCTGGCCTTGGACACTTCCAGGGATGGGGCATCCACAGCTTCTCTGGGCAACCTGTCCCAGTGCCTCCCCACCCTCTCCGGGAAGAACTTCTTCCTGATATCCAATCTAAACCTCCCCACTTTCAATTTAAACCCGTTACCCCTTGTCCTGTCACTACAGGCCCTTGTAAAAAGTCCCCCCCAGCTTCCTTGTAGGCCCCCTTGGAGAAACTTGGAAAAATATCCGGATCCAAAAGGTGTAGCAGGTTTTCTTTGACTGAAAGAGGCTGAGGAACAAGCCGTAGGGTGTTCCGCCGCTGCAGCATCCCGTGGCAGGGCCGGCTCGGGCAGATGTGCACTGCACGGGCTGCTGCCGAGCCGAGCGCTTCCCGGCTGCATCCGCCTTCGCAGCAGCTTGCCATGAGGCACAAAGCGCGTTTGGAGCCGTTCCTGCCGTCCCGACGCTGGCCTGGATCTCTTTGGGCAGAGCAGTCTTTTCCACAGCAAAGGGTTGTTCTTCCCTCGGCATCTCCTGGTGATGGCTTCGGGGGAGCGTGAGCCCGGTGTCGGGCTGCTCTCGGCACCGCCGTGACCCGGTAGCTATTCAGATGGTCCTCGTAAGTACGGCTTTCTGGGAGCAGCCACCGCCTGGAGCAGCTGCTCCGGGCTTTCCCCCATCGCCTCTTTTGCACCAAGGGATTGACGTGCCCGGGCTGTAGGAGAACATTCCCGCTGCTCCGAGCACAGGCTGCGCTTTGCCCCTCGCCCTTAAATACACCGACCCTTCCCCATCCAGCGGGACGGGCAGGCTTGCGGGGGCTGCCAGAAATAGAAATCCTTTGGCTTGTGGTGCCAAAAATCAGGGGTTTATGGCACGCGTGTTTGCCGATCCTTTTCAGCTAAGGTCCTGTGAAGGAATTACTTGTGGCCCCTTCCCACACGTGGGAAAGGGCCGCTCCTCTCCTGCTGCCGACGGCGCATCCGCGCGCTGAAGAGCGGGGAGGAGCAGCCAGCAGAGCTCTGCTGCCGAGGTCTCTGGGGGAAGTTAAGGGTGCTTGTGAGCTGATGGATGGGGTAGGTTGAGAGTTGAGAACGGATGTTTAATGCTGTTGACGTTTAATTTAATTGCATGTGCTGTTTGCTCCATTACACACGGGTACTTAGAGTCAAGGGTAGGTGCAATTATTCCTTTCGAAATCTAAATAGATGATACTATGCCGGTTTACCCCAGGGTAGGGCGTACTTGCTGCTCATTTATTTTTATTCTTAGTGGCAAGGGATTGTGCTGTCTGGGTATATTACAATGAAGATCAGCTTTTGTATATCCCTTACTGCTGCTCCCTGACAGGTGATGGAAGCCCTTGGAAGCCTCTGCAATGGAATGTGCTGGGGTGCAGAGAAACAAGTGCCGTCTGACAGCACCTTGCAAACAACCTGCAGGCATGTCTGGGTGTGAAAAAGCCTTTTCACCATGCCCATTCCACAGATGACAGTGTTTCTGGTGGCAGGACTTTCAGAGAGCCACCACTGTTACTGCTGAGGGGGGC